TCCCCGCCCCCTCGACCACGGACCCCCCACGAACTCCCGACCCACTCTAACCCCCCCCCCACCCTCGCTCCCTATCCCCTGACTGCTCCGATCCCTCTCCACACCCCCGCCCCCTGACAGGCCCCTCCCAGAACTCCCCTTACCATGCCCATGCCTCTCAAGCCGCCTGCTCCTCCATGGCTGGGGCTCGCCGCCGTCACAAGCAGGAGGCTCTGGCTCTCCGGTGCCTCTGGAAGGCGGCTCCTCCCTGTCGAGCCAGGGCACCGCTTTTTGGCACCCCCAACCACTTGGCGCCCTAGGCGACCGCCTAGTTCGCCTAACAGTTGCACCGGCCCTGAGAATAGGTGTTACAAAGGCAGCTGCAGCATGATCTTCCTAGATACGATCCCATTGATGTGATTCAACCCTTTTCTGGCAGAAGCTGCTTTTATCAGGTAGAGAGTAGTTGTTGCCTGCCCCTATAATCTTTTGCTTCTCCACTGGATCTGCCAAAAAATTCCAACAGCATGTGTGTGTGACATGGACAAGTTGTCCAGTAGGAAACTGAGACAGTCCCTCAGTTCATAAGTTACTGAACAGCCTTCAGAAATGACCATCTGTTACGACTGGCTGGGACAGATTTGAACAGGAGACCTGTCGGTGAAAGGCTCTTATTTCCTATTCCCCTGAGCCGTCCAATTTCTCCCCTGCTAACACAAGTTCTGTGTATTTTCAAGCTCTAGCAGATGCCGATTGATGTGCACAAAACTGTGTGTTCATTGTACTTTAGAATGTAAACGTGTATATTTCATTGCAGCTGTATTCATGGCTCTGTTGCCCCTTAACCTCTGAAATCATGGGTGTTTATTTCAGTATAGGTCAAGCCAGATTGGCAGTGATCTTGTAGATTGTTTTGTCTAAGCTCTGGTTCAACTCCATTGGAGTCAACAAGTCAATGGAGCTGTCCAGTTCCATCCTCAATGAATTAAACCCACTGATAGCTTTTAAATCACAATGTGTCATTTTAAAAAATACATTTGTACTGAGATTCTCAGGTATGAATTTAAAAAGCACGTTAAGTCCCATTTCGGATATGACAGGCACTCGGGAAGTCTAAATGAAAGCCTATAAGTATTAGGATTCTAAAAGTGCTATCTCACTTTTGAAAATGGAACTTGGGCTTCTAAGAAGCTTTTGAAAAGGTTATCTGTCAATATTTACAACAGAATTATTTCTTCAAACTGGGAGTTGCTTCTTTCTGTTCATGTATCAACCAGAATTTTTCACCTGTTCTATTGTCCCTTAAGGCAATGGTTCTCAACCTTTCCAGACTACTGTCTCCCTTTCAGGAGTGGTCTTACGTACCCCAAGTTTCACCTCACTTAAAAACTACTTGCTTACAAAATCAGACATCAAAATACAAGAGAGTCACAGCACACTAGTACTGAAAAAAGTGCTGACTTTCTCATTTTTACCATATAATTATAAAATAAATCAATTGGAATAGAAATATTGTACTTACATGTTAGTGTGATACTTTCACTTGTGAGCCTTGTCGGAAGTCCAGGTCCCGCCGCCCAGAGCTGAAGCATGTAACTTAGCTTTGTGGGGCCCTGCTTGCCACCCCTAGTGCCAGCTCTGCACTTGCGACACCCCTAAACCTGTCCTGCACTGCCCTCCCTCTCACCCCCCTCCCCCAGTGGTTGCAGCCTCCAGGTTGAGAAACACTCATCTAGATGAGCTAAGAACCCATTGGAAGACATATGTGTAGCCCCAGAGGTACATGTACCATGCTTTCAGAACTACTGCCTCGTGAGGTAGAGAACAAACAGGCCTATTATGGAAGGGGCTGCTTAATTCTTCTTTGAGTATTTGTCTGTGTGGATCCCACTTGAGGTGCACATGCGCCCAAGAATCTCATAGTACCATACTAGCTAACCACACTCAGTAAAACCTGTTACGTGTATGGCTTATGACACACACACGTTGTATGTTTTAGTCCTCAGTCCCAGCCTCTAAACCTTTTTTATCAACAGATGTGCAGAGTTAAATTGCAGTAATCAGCCAGAGGCAGTAGCATACCAAAAAGAAATAGTCCCCACCTGCCACACAACAAAGATACAATGCAGGAAAATGCTTTTTTAAAAATGTTGACTGTAAAAACTGTCCCTTATGCTACACCTACAATGGCTTTGAGTCATGTGTTTACTCTGACGTATTGGTTACAGTGCTGAAGGTGTACAGGACATGTACAGTGGGTGATGTGTGCCAAACAATTAACAGGTTCCAGCCCTAAAAATGTACAGTCTACAGGCAGTGAAAGGATAGCCTGTGACAATCCAGCACATAACAGAACAAAGAGCAGAGTGTGGTCATTGTAGCAGGAATGTTTTATTGGAAGGGAGGCGGGGGGCATAGGCGTTAGGTCAGGGGTAGGCAACCTATGGCACACGAGCTGATTTTCAGTGGCACTCACACTGCCCGGGTCCTGGCCACCAGTCCGGGGGGCTCTGCATTTTAATTTAATTTTAAATGAAGCTTCTTAAACATTTTAAAAACCTTATTTACTTTACATACAACAAATTATATATTCTAGACTTATAGAAAGAGACCTAAAAACGTTAAAATGTATTACTGGCACGTGAAACCTTAAATTAGAGTGAATAAACGAAGACTCGGCACACCACTTTTGAAAGGTTGCCGACCCCTGTGTTTGGTTTAGGTGTTACTTTGGAGGAGAAAAGAGAGGAAGCTTGGACTCTCTCAATGACCTTGTCTTCACAAGGAAAAAAGTGTGTTCTTAACTCCAGTTAGTTAACTAACATGAAGCAAAATCCTAGTGAAGACAAAGCAATTTATATATCACACCTTCACTAGAATTTTACTTCACGTTAGTTGACTCCAGTTAGCTAACTCCAAAGAACACACCTTTGTTCCCGAGTGAAGACACCCACGGAGCTGGTAGAATTCCGTGAGAGTGAGCTGGATTCTAGCCTGCTGCATGCTCCACAGTTGTATGCAGTGTTGTTGTGGTTGTGTCGATCCCAGGATGTTAGAGAGACAAGGCGGGTGAGGTAAAAGATGTTATCTCACTCACCTTCATGTTCCACAGACAAAATTGTCCTTTTTTGCGGAAGGGTGACCGAAGAATCAAGCCCCAGCTTCACTTTTGGATTCCACACCGAATTTGCTTGGCGGGTTAACTGAGTCAATTGGATCTCAGAGCCATTGAGTGAGGATTAATAGAGACCTTCATGATGTCAATTTTACAGCATCCCTCTTCTGCCTTTAAATCAAATACCATTGGATTGGCCTAAGAAACCACATCAAAATGGGGTTCTAAGTAAAACCAGTCGTAGGCACTCCATTAACCAGTGTTCTGTCATAAGGAACAGTTGACATGAGCCTTTTGCACTGATGAAGACAGGTTTACTTCATTTCTAACACACACAAAAGTGAGTGAAGAAAAGAACCTGCATATCTTGGCCTGTTTGTCAGCCATGAATGTAGCTCTGTGTGTTGGCAGAAATATGTTCACTGCTGAACAAGCCAGTGAAATGCTCGGAAAGGCATCTTTTAGATGAACCCGGAGAATATCTGGTTACATATTACTCTTCTCCCTGAACAATAGTTGCTTTGTACCTTCACGTATTAAATGCTCTACAGTGTGCGTTAATGCTGGTGTTCATATGTGATCCTAGTGTGAAGTGTACCCTAACTTTTGAAACTCATTTAGATTTAAGTCTGTTGTAACCTGAAAAAATAATTGGAGACTAGTTTATTCTTTTTTTTTTTTTTTTAAGTTGACTGTTGGGTGACATGGGGAGAGAACCTGGATTTTAGGAACTTTCTGACCGAGTGCTCTGGGATGTGTAGAAGTCCCAGTTTGGCATCCATCTTTGGTCGTGTGTCTGTGTGGTTTTGTTTTGTTTTGTGTTTTTTTGTTTTGTTTTGTTTTGTTTCGTTTTCACCTCACACACACACACTTTCCCTGGGAGTGGAGGGGAGATCATTAACAGATGGGGACCGTAGCTGTTAGGAACGTGCAGCAGCCCCTGTCTGTCAGGCTTTCTCTGGCCTGATTATGTCACTGATCTAAATATTAGCAAGAAATCTCCTTCCTGGTGAAAAGTTTTGCACTAATGATCTAATAAAGGAAGTATTAATACCTGGGATCATCTGTAATAATTGCACACTTCCTGCCCCTAAACTGTTTATGTAATGTAAAATATAGTTAGAAATATATAGTCTAGCGTATCTAATATTTTGGTGATACTCCATATGTGGACACTGAATATGGCTTTTAATTCCATGAAGGGCAAGAATGACTTCTGTTCAGTTGTTGTCCTTCACAAGTGGAGTGAAGAGGGCATATTTCTTGTCCGTACATGGGCTATTCTGGTTATACCACCCCCCCTGCGATATTTTTGCCCTTTGTTCAGCATTTTATACTTGCATTTTATTGTCAGGCTTCCTAGCAGCAGACTGTTCAGGTTGCAAGTGGAGGCTAACAGAAAATCCCACAGGTGAGTTAATGTTTGTGGTGGTAGTTTGGGATGTTGGGATGAAGCTGCTGGTTGGCACTGTTGCTTGTTTCTGTAGGCGTTCTGATCACTCGTGGTATTTCTTAGCACAAAGAGGGACACGTCTGTCTGTCTATCTTTTTCTCTCACTTCTATGAGTGAAGAGTAGTAGAATTCAGACGTAAATGCACCCGTGGGTGTGTTAAATTTGCACATGTGCGGTCAAATTCACAGATACATACTAGAGTCAAAATCATGGGTGTGGGGTAGATATGCACATGCTAATATACTGAGGGCCCAATCCGGCTATCGTTATTGAGGCTAAACGCCTGTGGAAATTGATGGGATTACTACCCAAGAAAGGAATGAGAGTGACAGGATCGGGCCCAAAATATATATTTCACTAATATACTCAAGTAATATACACTTGTGGTGAGGGCAAGAGGGGTGTATGTGTGATGTTTTGATTTGTAAGGTGTCTGATTCGACATCTTAGGGAGCATGCGCATAATGCGTAAAACACAATAGTTATACAAAGAAAAGCCCCCCCCCCCACCCCAAATGTAAACTGCCACCAACCCATCAGTGCCGAGAAACTACAGTGAGGAGCTTTGTAGAAAAAACAGAGTCCCCTAGAGATCATCCCGTTTGGCCTGTGATAGACCAGTGAACTCCAGTGGGTGTGCGTCCACTCACTTGCACTGGTCTATCACAAATGGAATGCATATGTACATACACACGCTTCTCTGTTTGATACATAAACACACATAGGGAGACCAGATGTCCCGATTTTATAGGGACAGTCCCGATATTTGGGGCTTTTTCGTATATAGGCTCCTATTACCCCCCACTCCCGTCCCGATTTTTCACGCTTGCTATCTGGTCACCTTTGTTCCCAACACACATGGCATATATTTCGCTAACAGTCATCATGATCCATGAGGGGTGGGTGACCAAGACAGTAGCCCCCCAAGAGTGGCTGCCTTCCCTTCTCAAACTATTTGAGAAATGCAGTTGTGTGTGTGAGAGATAACTGGAGTGTGAGATAACTGTTAAGTATTTTTTAATTGTTTTAAATAAATTGAATTTAAATACATTTTAAAATGCCTTTGTGACTTCAAATTACTGTTATGTATATTTTAAAATAAATTTTGTCCTTAAAAATCAAAATAATAGAGCATCACTTTCAGGTGCGGTTCTCTCTTCACACTTCAGAACTTGCAGCTGCCATTATACAAAGGCCCTCTAGAGAATATGGGATCCTAAAGGGTATTTTAAATGTAAAACTAAACTCCGCTTAGATATAGTCTTTACTTTATGGAAAAGCCCTGTAGTCTTTAATACGGATTAAACTAATAGATTTCAATAGAAATGTAATAGGATTCCATAGCAATTGCCCTGAAAACCACTAGAAATTAATAGAGAATGTAGAAGTCTGTACTGTAATTAACATAGTTTTCAGGGAAGGGGTGATTTTAAAATATTTATGGTAAAACACAATGAGAATAGCAACAAAGAGTCCCGTGGCACCTTATAGACTAACAGATGTATAGGAGCATAAGCTTTCGTGGGTGAATACCCACTTTGTCAGCTTTCTGTTAAATGACTATTCAGAAGTTTTAAAAACTATAATATGGTACCTTGGCCATTTGACTAAGATCAAACATACCAGGTTAATAGCTGATGCATCCTTCTGTTTGGGAACCACAGAGGAATCTACTCTGCGACTGATTAGGTGTTTCCCATCTCTAATATCTAGAAAGCTTTGTCCTCATAACACCTGTAAGCCGGCTACCTAAAATATCCTCCACTGCTGTTTATATTTCATTTAAAAGAAAACAAAACTTAACGTTTCTAACTTTAGTAAAAGTTGGATGCTATGATTCTTTCTTAGTATTTCTAACCAGGTTTCCTATATATTTGAATTGACCATGATACAGACGGCTAATCTTATCAGGTTTACCCTCCTCTATTCTGTAAAGCCAGCTGATCAAGGGAGCTTAGTAGAAAGGTGGGTTAGTCCACTAGACTTCTGGAGTTGTTTAGATCACAAGTGGAAATGAGCAGTGTGGGGCACGGGTCACTTGCTGGAAGATTCTCTGCATCTTGAAGTCTTTAAACCATGATTTGAGGACTTCAATCGCTCAGATGTAGGTTTGTTACAGGAGTGGGTGGATGAGATTCTGTGGCCTGCGTTGTGCAGGAGGTCAGACTAGATGATCATAATGGTCCCTTCTAACCTTAAAGTCTATGATTCTATGTTTGGTCTCCTAGTCTCCATTTGCCACATCTCTCTCTTTCTCTCGCACAAAAATTGGCCAGGTTTTAGAAGACTTGCAGTCCCTGCTTGAGAGAGGCCCAAAATTAGTGTCTTAGGTAGGGAATGAGTTACATAGGAGCAGAGCCACATGGGGAAAACATGCACAGAGTATGCACACACTTTACGTCTAACTCAAGCCGGTCTGAGTATCCTTATTCAGCTCTAGATTCATCCTCCGCATCATACGGAGGTGAGGGAGGGAGGGATAGGTAATTTAGCCGACAGGGTCATGAGCTGAGGATTTGAAATTGGTTTCCCATGGAAAAACACGATCTGCTTCTTTGTCTCCTCTCCTAGCCCCTCTTTTTTTATCAAGTAAGAAGAACATAAGGTTTTTACAGATACATCAGAATGAGGCCAAAATGACAGAAGAGGAAGGTAAAGGCTCAGAATTTCAGAATAAAGGAATACTGTCAAGATAAAAACACCTTTTTAAAGTGCTTCCCGGTGTTACTAACACCACCTGAGAGTATTAACTGAAGGAATTTTGCGGTTGCAGCTTGTGATGAAGTATACAGACCGCAGTGACCAGGAAGGGGGTAATCAGAGCCTCTGGCCCCAGTCAGCCACACCCATTACACCTGTACAAGGTATCAAGCATGGAGGCGGGAGAGAGAGGAAAAGCCCAGCTCAGTGGTGGCTGACTGGGAGAGGGAGTAGACCTTTTGAGCTAGCCCTGTGAAGGAAGGAAGGCCTGGCTGGGGCTAGAACCTAACTAGAGCCTCCTTGGGACAGGTAGGCCTGGTATAGGACCTTTTTTATCTCTCATAACTAGTTTGGGCTGCCCTTTGTTTTGGGACCAACAGAAGAATAAGCCGGGGCAGAGACTGTGAGAAAAGCCCAGCCATGGGCTACAGTAGGAAGCAGCCCAGATATACAGCAGGGGGTCTGAACAGACCTCCTCTGCTTTATACAGAGCCCCTGGGGCTGGAACCCAGGGTAGAGGGCGAGCCTGGGTTCTCCTACTAGGGCAGGGGGTGTGATGACCTTGGGGCCAAGGCCTGGCAGGCCCCAAAAGCCTGAAGTTGGGCCGAACCACTGACATGCCAGAAAGGGTGGGACTGTTATTGACCTGGCCGAAGAGCCACGTCCCAGGAAGAGGCAGATCAGCGCAGGGCCAGAACAGCTGTCGGGAGGGGGCGCCGAAGGAGGAGAGGCGCTGCATCATGCCCAGCCACGAGGGAGTGTGTCTGTGGTGAGTAGACTCTTCCACATAGCTTGGCAGAGCACGCCCAGGGCCACAGCCTGCTCCACCCATGAACAGATGCGCTCGGGAGCCACAGAGGGGTATTTTGCCACAGTTGCTCTCAGCCTGTGGATCTGTGCTTGGCCATGGCAAAGGGCCACGTATTTGGATGGCTTGCTGGGGCCTCTGCATTCGCGCCTTTCCCCCCCACCCCCCAAAAAAACCAGAAACTCCGCAGGAGATACTTCCCCAGGGACAGGTCAGTCCTCTTCAATACTGGAGACTCAACCTCTCCAGCCAAATATTCTGTAGGGGTAAGTCCAAAAATCTCCCCGCCCAATCCATCCTACATTGAAAAAGCTCCAGGGCCGTCTCCCAGCTTCTCCAGTGGGTAATAGTCACTTGGCAAGGAATCCTTGCTGACTCTCTTCCCAAGAGGAAGTTCTGAGCTCTTTCTGGGATGTACGCCCCATGCATCTTTTCCAATTTCATATTGGACAAAAAGAATGCAGGGGCTCAAGGCTCCCTCTCTGCCATATCTTTGTGATTGGAAGCCACAAGTGATCATCCTTCCTCCCAAGAAGGCAAAAGAAAAGTAAAAAGGGTAGAAAATATAAAAAAAAATAAAGCCAAAAAAATCTTCAGCTCTTCTCCTCCTGAGCTCTAGCTTCTCCCTCAAAGAAGGGGTATTTTTGGCTTTAGATCATGCTAACCCCAGGCCAGAAAAGGTAGAAGTTGGTGGATTGTAGCAGAAGGTAAATGTGTAAAAGAGCAACTTAATCTCAATACACACAACAAGCATCCGCTCTGAACAAGAGAGTGGAGGAAAAGACAAAGGCCAGGACTTGAAAAATGGGCATCTAAAGTTAGTCTTCACAGTCCACATTTATGCACCTAAATACACAGCCTGATTTTTCACAATACCGAGTAGCCAGCAGCTCCCATTAACGTTAAATAAGTTAAAATTAATCAAGAAAAGGGTCAACCCTTGTATGCGTGGTTCTTTGAAATCCTGGCCCATGCTGTGTTAGTGATGCAGAGCGTAGGGTACCAGATCAGTCCCTATTCAGTCTTTAAGCTCTTAGAGAAATCCACTCCTGTGGTTGTTATGAATGAGCTGAGGGGAGCACATTGAAATAGAACAAGATGAACCAGGACGGTGCAAAGGGTTAATCACTGTGAGTTTTAGGAAACATTTGGCAGCTGAATGGCAGATAACACGGGTGACATCCACATAGGTAGTTTGATGTGCATAGCTCTTGGGGGGGGGGAGGGGGAGGGGGCAGAACTATTTAATTACGGTGGCTGCAGTACTGCTGTAATCTCCCTTGGGACCCTTGCAGTTTGTTGGAGGAAAATGTAACATTTTTGTTTGCTGTTGTGTTTGGCTAATGTTCCATGGAAAAGTCAGGACTAAAGCCTCATTATATTCATTATAATTTACAGGCTGGTGTCTGGGGCTTCCCCATTCATACTCATGCTCCATCCATAAGCTGCCCTGTTGCACCTCGACATTGGTGTTCACACGTGTAAAATTCTGTTATGCTTTGTTGTGCATCTTTGAGAGAGTTGGATTTTTTAACACGATTAGACCAGGATGGCTCCTCCAGAGACACATGGTGATGTGAAGGCAGGTTTGAGGTCACAAAACAAAATAAGGTTTGCAAGTCCTTTCAAACCATGCTGGGTGGAACAATTTCCTTATCTAGTGTCTGTGAAGTGCCTTGGGATGGCTAGCACTAGGGTCTGACTATTCAGAAACGGGGAGCTCAGCACTTTTTGCAGTTAGGACCCTGTAGAGCATCTCAAATTTAGCTCCCCCAAAATCGAGACACCCTAAATCACATAGATGAACAAGTTTTGTTGGGGGAGAGTCAACACAGCTTTTGTAAAGGGAAATCATGCCTCACCAATCTATTAGAATTCTTTGAGGGGGTCAACAAGCATGTGGACAAGGGTGATTCAGTTGATATAGTGTACTTGGATTTTCAGAAAGCCTTTGACAGGGTTGCTTAGCAAAGCTCTTAAAGGAAACTAAGTAGTCATGGGATAAGAGGAAAGGTCCTCTCATGGATCAATAACTGGTTAAAAGACAGAAAAACAAAGGGTGGGAATAAATTGTCCGTTTTCACAATGGAGAGAGGTAAACAGCGGTGTCCCCCAAGGATCTGTACTGGGATCTGGGCCGTTCAACATACTCATTAATGATCTGGAAAAAGGAGTGAACAGTGAAGTGGCAATGTTTGCAGATGATACAGAATTATTCAAGATAATTAAATCCAAAGCTACTGCGAAGAGTTACAGGAGTATCTCACAAAACTGGGTGACTGGGCAACAAAATGGCAGATGAAATTCAACATTGATAAATGCAAAGGAATGCACATTGGGGGGAAACTCCCAACTACACATATATAAAGATGGGTTCTGGATTAGCTGTTACCACTCAAGAAAGAGATCTTGGAGTCATCCTGGACAGTTCTCTGAAAACTTCCGTTCAATGCGCAGTAGCACTCAAAAAGGCTGTCAGTGTTAGGAACTATTAGGAAAGGGATAGAAAATACGACAGAAAAATATCACCATGGCACTATATCAATCCATAGTACACCTACACCTTGAACACTGTGTTCAGCTCTGGTGGCCCATCTGAAAAAGCAAAGATGATCAAGGGTACGGCACGGCTTCCGTATGAGGAGAGGCTAAAAAGATTAGGGCTGTTCATCTTAGAAGAGGGATGGTTAAGGAGGGATATGGTAGTGGTTTATAAAATCATGACTGGAGTGGAAAAAGTGAATAAGCAAGTGTTGTTTATCCTTTCCCACAATACAAAACCCAGGGCCCACGCCATGAAATGAATAGGCAGCAGGTTTAATACAAACAAGAGGGAATACTTTTTTATACAACCCACAACTAACCTATGGAACTCGTTGCCATGAGATGTGGTGATGGCCAAAAATATAACTGGGTTCAGAAAAGAACTAAAGTTCATGGAGGATAGGTCCGTCAATGGCTATTAGCCAGGATAGTCAGGGATGTAACCCCATGCTCAGGGCGAACCTAAACCTCTGACTGCCAGAAATCAGGAAGGGAAGACAAGTGGATCTCTCTAAATTGCCCTTTTCTGTACACGTCCCCTGAAGCTCTGGTACTGGTCACTGTCAGAGACAGGATACTGAGATAGATGGGCCATTGGTCTGACCCATAGAATCATAGAATATTAGGGTTGGAAGAGACCTCAGGAGGTCATCTAGTCCAACCTCCTGCTCAAAGCAGCACCAACCCCAGCTAAATCATCCCAGCCAGGGCTTTGTCAAGCTGGGCCTTAAAAACCTCTAAGGATGGAGATTCCACCACCTCCCTAGGTAGCCCATTCCAGTGCTTCACCACCCTCCCAGTGAAATATTTTTTCCTAATATCCAACCTAGACCTCCCTCACTGTGACTTGAGACCATTGCTTCTTGTTCTGTCATCTGCCACCACTGAGAACAGCCAAGCTCCATCCTCTTTGGAACCCCCCTTCAGGTAGTTGAAGGCTGCTATCAAATCCCCCCTCACTCTTCTCTTCTGCAGACTAAATAATCCCAGTTCCCTCAGCCTCTCCTCATAAGTCATGTGCTCCAGCCCCCTAATCATTTTCGTTGCCCTCCGCTGGACTCTCTCCAATTTGTCCACATCCTTTCTGTAGTGGGGGGCCCAAAACTGGACGCAGTACTCCAGATGTGGCCTCACCAGTGCTGAATAGAGGGGAATAATCACTTCCCTCGATCTGCTGGCGATGCTCCTACTAATGCAGCCCAATATGCCATTAGCCTTCTTGGCAACAAGGGCACACTGTTGATCCATATCCTGCTTCTCGTCCACGGTAATCCCCAGGTCCTTTTCTGCAGAACTGCTGCTTAGCCAGTCGGTCCCCAGCCTGTAGCAGTGCATGGGATTCTTCTGTCCTAAGTGCAGGACTCAGCACTTGTCCTTGTTGAACCTCATCAGATTTCTTTTGGTCCAATCCTCCAATTTGTCTAGGTCACTCTGGACCCTATCCCTACCCTCCAGCATATCTACCTCTCCCAAATCTGAGTATCATCTGCAAACTTGCTGAGGGTGCAATCCATTCCATCATCCAGATCATTAATGAAGATGTTGAATACAATCAGCCCAAGGACCGACCTCTGGGGCACTCTGCTTGATACTGGCTGAC